AGCTTAGTGGTTAGATAGTCATGTACTTTACATAGTATTCCCCTCGATATTTCCAGTACCCCAACTGGCACAGAGGGGTGCTTTTAAACTAATCTAAAGTATACAAGGTCCTCCGCTTTGGAATTCTTCAGAAGTGCTAAGACATTTCTCCTCCTCCCATCGCCTGCCTCCCAGCCCAGACCCTAATTCCGAAATCTGAAGGCGAGTGGCTCGGGCCTTTCAGATAATCTATTCGCAAACATCCCTTCTTTGTCTAACGGGACGCCCTCTTGTTACCACCTATAAATATTGTTCATTCTACTAATACCCTAAACCCAGACAGATCAAAATAACTAAGGTTCAGAACGTCAAAGGTTGTCTTTATAGTGGTGTTTTAATGGGGGGACTACTGACCCCCTCAAGGTTGACCAGATCGGACCATACCAAAGAAACCAATGCACTGAATTCACGCAGAAAACGTCAGCTAACGCCCCTCCCACAGAGTGGTACTGTCTGCCACGTGTGCCACTCGAGCTCTTCCAAAGAAGAAACAAGTCACTCCCCTTTCCTGCAGGGGTGTCTATTTTTACAGAACACACTGAGTTGGGAAATAGCCTTTGGATACAATGGCCAGGTCAAGCCAGTCAGCGTAGGTGGTCTTCTCACGGGGGTGAGAACCCTCATCACGCGCCCTTGTAAGAAAGGCCAGCCATCCCTTCTTGCTCTTTGAGAACAGAGCAGTCTTAATCCTCAAAGACTAACCTTTGCCACTGGACTCGGTGGCCCTTAGGACAGCAAGTTTAAAGGCACTGGTCAGTGACCAGACATGACAGATGCTCCAACAAGGCTGGTGGTGTCCACTCCCTTCTCCAAAAGACACTGTTTTTCCTTTTACAACTAAAATGAGAGGCATCTTAGGGGAAAATCATACTTCACTCTTGGGTCTTTTTCTTCTTTTAATCCTCACAGGAGTATATGCTTATTGGTTTTAGAGAGAGGGCAAGGGAGGGAAAGAGAGCAGGAAAGAAACATCGATCGGTTGGTTGACTCTTACACATGACGTGAGCAGGGACCAAACTCGTTACCTAGGTATGTGCCCTGACCAGGAATCAAACCCGAGACCTTCCAGTCTATAGGACAACACTCCAACCAACTGAGCTACATGGGCCAGAGCCACTCTTGACTCTGTTTTGATAAGAAAAAGATAAAAAGGAAGAAACAAATGGAAGGAGAATGACTCAATGGTGAAAGAGGAGAGCAAAATGAAAGGAGAATGGGGGGGGAGGGGAGGGGAGGGCAGGGGCATAGTGAAGTTCACAGGTTTGCTATTCCCAAACACACGTTCATTCCACTCATGCACAGTAAGGAAAACATTTTCATTTTCTTTTCTGTCAGCCGGAGCATAAGCGATTGCTGCAATAATATCAGAAGTTATTGGTCACTGCAAACATCCTTGCTAGTAAAAAGCCAGCACGCCAGCAGTGTAAAATATTGGCCTCAAGGTGCTCTAAAAAATTTGTTTTCAGATGCAGGAATGTCAGCTTCTGGACTAAAAGTGATGTATGCTGTCTGGTGGGCAGCAGGGGGGTCTGATGCCAAATCTGGAATGTGTCTGCCCGGACCGGGGGTCCTTTAGAACAGACGCCAGCCCCAGACATGAGAATTTTGCCCAAAGCAGGTCAGGAACGAGAGTAGTGTTTGAGGCCATAACCCCAAACAAATCTTAGCCCTGAATTGTCACGTTCACAAATGTTTCAGGAAGCTAGTCCGAATCTAAGACAAGTCAGGGCCAGGTGGGCCTCTGATTAAGTTAATTACATCTAATTTCATTCCCATCGAGGCCCATGTAAAGGAACCGTGGAAGCCCTAGGAATAAAAGTAGCCAAGCATCATATTTTATAAGCTTTTAAATAAGGTGTTCTCAAGTACATAAAAATGGCATAACTACTCTAAGTTGATCACTTGCTTATGAGAAAAGTAGTATTATAAATTTTAAAAAACAGGTAAGGCAAATATTTGGTCCATATGGATTTTTTTAAATGCCCCTTTGACTTCAAATGAAGCCTACAGAGATTTTTCACATGAAGTCAAAAAGCTACTAGCAAGCACCTGAGACCAACTCCCAGGTACCAGCCCTGATCACACGGTAGCATCACTACTGCCTGTATCTGTCATTCACTCTGGGGGCAAGATCACAGAGCTCAGCCAACTGTACATTTTACTCCGTAACATGACTAAGGAATTCTTCATAAAACAAAATCCCTGGAATTTTCCTGTGACTTGGAGGAACTCCTGTCATGCATAGGATGATGACCAAAATAGGAAGAACAAAACAAAACGAAGCATCCGAAGCTCTTTCCTCTGAATTCCACTTTGGTAACCACGTACTCACTGTTCCCTCGCCCTCACAGGAATATTCTTAAGAGTCCTTCACAGCCTACCTGGATAAATGGAAACAGCATTTACTTATCTTTAGCGTGTCAGTAAGTCATCAGAATCGGGCGGTCAACAAGAGGTTCCTGGGAGTTGGGGGGAGGGGAGGCGGCGTTAGTTCAGAATCCACTTGCAAGAGCTATTTTGAACAGTGAAGCAGGGGTGGGGAATTGGCATGAATCAATAAAGCAACTCTCTATTTAGTCCCTCCGTTGTGGTTGAGCAACGTAGCGGGGGGCTGAAGTTCTTTTCTAAACCCATGATGGTGCTCATGATTAATAAGCATGTGTAACGCTGTGCTTATTCTTTCAGAAGGAGCAGATGAACTACGCTAATGCATCTGTTCCACCTATACCCCTCTCCAAATTAAAATTTGGCATCTACTGAGAAAATATATTAAATGTAAAGACCCCATAAGATAGAAAAAAAGAGACAAAACGATCACATGCACTCCATGTCATATTCCATGTGCATGTAAACAGGGACCATTTGACTTGGTCACTAGCAAATGACAACCAAGGATACTGTGTTTCTTTATATAAATTATCTGACATTTCTTTATACTGAACTAAGATATTTTTTCTAATAACTTCTTATCGGGGAAATCTTTTCTAAAAATAAACTATCTGTGGCATTAACCCTAAACACATAGCTAATAAAAGGAGGTCAGAATAAATAGCACAAACAGGTCTCAGCTTAGCCAGCAAGATGACAACACTTACAAGAACAAGGTATTGTACTCTCTCCCCGAAGCCATCAGAGTCTATTCGTTTACAAGTAGCACTAACGCAACACAATTTATACAGTAAATTCAAAATTAGTAACATGCAGCGCAGATACACTAAATAACCTAATCACTATTTCTAAATGTCATAGCCTCGTTTTAATGTATTTCCATGATAACTGACTAAATAAGACCCATGGATTGATGTCATATTATGGCTATCTCTAATCAAGCTGACTTAACTGTCAATTCAGCCCCAATCTTTTATGAGGAAACAGAGAGAAAAATGTAATGTTTGACCTCGCTAAATACAGTCATTTTGCATGCAAAAATCCAACTCTCTACATGACACACACCCACAAGATAGAATTAATAATGCTCATGTCTTGTACATTATAAAATATAAACTCATACCAAACAATAAAAATACTATAAATCATCTTAAAACACAAAACTGCCCCCAAATACTTCTCAGAACCAATTCTATACACAATGGGCCAATATCTGGTTATTCCAATCACCAGAGAAATAAGACAGTCATAATTTAGGTTCAGGTTTATTATTTTCTTGCTTTATCCAGATGGGATGCTTTAGGCTAAATAGGCAACTAATCTCTATGTTTTTCTCTTCTATCATGCTATATTGACCCAGACACATAAAACTGTATTCACAGGTATACAATATAGGACTGTGCATAAGGCTAGAGGAAAAAAAAAACAGCTAGCATTGGGTCCACATGCCCATGCATCCTCACAAAAGCAGTAATAATATTCCCTCAAACATATATTCATCACCTCTGACTGACCCTGGGCTGCCAGAAGGAAAGTTTTGACCTCCTACAGGTCAAAGAAGCACATAGCCTTGCATCTTAATTCATGACTAGTCCTGATCCTGTAGCCGAAAGATCAATGCAGCGCATCCTGACTTTTCAATGAGCTCATGCTCATCAAAGTCTTTAAAATTTTCTCGGTTTCAAGGTATGATGTCCTTGTAACCATTGCTGATGTTAACTAAAGAAATCCCTCCCAATAAGCAGTATGGCTAATAGGCTAAAGAAAAAAAGCAATCCCAGCATAAACTGCAACAGAAATGACTGGTACAAAAGTTGAATAAAGAATACTGCCTCCTTAATTTCGGTAATATTGCTGATTAGCACTAGAGTGAAGTTACCTAAGCAACCACTCTGCATCATGCATGACATTCAAATACATCTTTATGACAGTGGCTCAACAGCTACAATTTGGTTGCAGATAACATTCTCGTCAAATGCATAAAACCAGCAGATCTGTTTGTGGCAACAAAAAAACCCCACACAATCTCTGGAATATAAAGATTTATGTATTAGGCATATGGCACTATAACACAAATATCCATAAGCAAAATTATAAAACTAACAGAAAGTACAAAATAACTTGGGCTAAAAACAAAGAAAAAATTACAACCAGAATTGTTTCCTTAGGAGTACAACCATTAGACCATCCATACACTCACAGACACATTCACACTTGCAGCAGAACCGGAACCACAAAGTGGTCTATTCTCATTTCTAATGCTTTATAACCCAAAGGCTTAGCGATAGTATAAGGAAAAGCTTCCAAAAGTTATTAAGGATGCTATGAAATCCTGTGTGGGGTGCTCCAATTTTCTGTTATTGCTGACCACTAATTAAACTCTGCAGAAGCAACCAGGAGAAGTGTGAGGACAGAGTTGACTGTATCTCTACACACTTGAGAACATCAGATCACCCTCAAGGACAGTCCTTAGTGATTTGGAAATTCATCAGGCCAGAAAGTTGACATCCAAGGAAACATTTCAAGGGAGCCGGAAGTTCCCCCTTCGTCCAAGGAAATGAAGAAATTCTTACCTTTCTGTACACCAGCATGTTGGGTGATTCGTCCGCCACCCCGTTGCTGGTCTGCCCGTAACTATTCCCTTGGGCCATTTCACCCACACTTGGCTCGCGCGGGGATACAGGAATTACCGGTCCGTGCTGCAAAGGGTTAGAGGGACTTCAGTGAGATCCGATGGTGGTGCTCAAGGGGGCTGAGGCTCTGGATGCGCCTACACCATCCACAGCCCCCACCCCAAAGGGAGCAGCTGGGGCTCACCGGAGGAAGTAGCACACCAGCAGTTGTTTGGGTTTTGGTTTGGTTTGTTTTTTTTTTAGCTGAAGCTGTATCTACAGTAACCCCAGGGAACTGTAAGAAATGACCGTCTCTTAGCTAAAGTCGTCATTTGGCGATGGCTTTACATTGAAGTGATTTTCTGGACACTTACTTTAAAAAGGGTTTGGCGCTCATTTGAAAAAAAAAAAAATCCCACGGTCACCATTTCCAGACTACAGAGACTTTTCTCTCCCAATACCTGCACGTCCACTTAATATTTTCCCAAAAGGGCGGAAAGGCGACACCGGCTGCAGCACATTTTGTCCCAGGTGTATGTCTCCTTCCCCCACATGCAGGCGCCTGGCGATGCCCTTCCCCGGCACAGGTGTTCTCCTCGTCCCCCTGTGTCTCCCACCCACAGCCTGGGTAGCCTCAGCTACTTTCACCTGCCTGCGCTGCCAGCCACTGGTTCCTCTCCTCTCACGTCGCTGTGCTTAGGCAGTCAGGACGTAATCGTGCCCAATCTCTGCAAGAAGGCATCAGGATCTACCCCGGCAACAAGAACTGGTGGGAGTTCAACCCCACCAGAAGGCAATTAGCGCGCTCCCCAAGGGAAGCCGCCGAACGGAGAAGCCTCAGAGCAACCACCCCACAGGAGCCCACTAGCAAGCCCCGGCCCCTGGGCTCGGCTCTCTGGGAAGCACAAATGGCAGGCGAGCCTGTGCCCCGCGCCAGCCGCGGCCGCAGGAACCGGGAGGCAGTTTCAGCACCCGGGACCGCGGCGAGCGCGGGGACCCCGGGGGCGGCCGCGCGGCGCCGGGCGAGAGGTGGGTGCGGGGCGGGGCGGGGGCCTGGGTGGCTGGGGTGGCGCCGCCTCCTCCCCTCTCAGGTCCCCTATTTACCTCCTCGGCCAAGGTCACGGCCCCGCCGCTTCTCCCTTCCCGGGCAGGCTGGAGTGCAGGCGGTGTCAGCTGGCTGCGAGCAGAGAAGCGAAGCAGGGCAGCTTCATCACACTGAGCGGCTGCAAAATCCGCGCCGTCCCGGCTCCCGCCGCTTAGGCGACCGCCACCCTGGCCGCCGCCGTGCACAGGCGGTCCTGCAGCCGCCGCTCGCGTCCGCTCCCCGCGGCGGCCGGGCTGGCTGCCTCCCTCCTCCGCTTCTCCGCCAGGGCGCTGGGACCAGCGGAGCGCGCGCGGGAGTCGAGACGCCCGGCCCGTGCGCGCGACTAGGAGGCTGGGGGAGGGGCGGTCACGTGTGCCCCGGCGTCTGAAGGTGCGGGCTCCCGGGGGCTCTGCTCCGCCTGGCCACACCGCCAGGGGCACCCCGGCCTCCCCACCCTCTCCCCTGGGGAGATCAGCTCGGGTTCTCGCACACCCCGCCCGCCTCAATGTACGTGCCTCTGAAGGCCTGTAGATCCGCGCTTAACGCCCAATGGCAGCCGGGAGGGAGCAAAGGCGATGGGTGGGGGGTGGGGGGGGCGGTGAATGGATGGATGGATGGAGCCCCGTGCAGCCAGCTGGCTGCATTCATCACGTGCCAGGTGACTCCGCTGACAGTATGAGGGAAGCAGTTGACCTATTATCCTTAGAGTTAAATAACCAGAATGGACAGATAGTGAGAAGTCCTAGGAGTGAAAGACTTGGTCCCAGGACCAAATGAGTCGTTCAGCCCTTTTGCCCTCAGCTTCCACAGTTTCCTCCCAAGTCGGAGAAGTGGGCTGCCAGCTTCAGGTGAAAATCTTGCCACCTGCGGAAGTGAAGGACCACCCGCAATGCCTGGTCTCTCCCTTTGACAGCAGGAGCTCCGAGGAATGTCCTCACACCCACTACTTTCATCCACCAGCAATTTCAAAGAGGGCCTGGGCGCTGACCCCCGGAAGTACCCTCCGGGTTGCTCTTCCCTAAGGAGTAGAAGGACGTGAAGGAGAAACATCCGTTTTGCCTCGATTATAGTAAAGAAGCTTGTGTCTGGCTCTCAGTGTTCCTTCCTCAGCTGTGGGGACAAGACAGACAGAAGTCAGTCAAGTCAACCCCATCTTAACTGCCTGGGTCTAAACAGAAGAGAACTTACCCATGGGCAGGTCATCCGTTCCCACCAAACAAGCCAGCCCTGGCGGATGCATTTCCCCAGCCCCACCCAGGCCTTGCCAGGGTTCACTCTTGGAACAAATATTTGTCCCAGCATTTTCTGTTCTAATACCACGGTGAAAAGATTTACACCCCAAACTACTGTACATTCCCCCTGCTCTGACCCATCTCCCAGTTCCCAAAGTGTTTCCAGTGCCCTCTCTGGAAATGTCGATCATTTTCAGAAAAATTGCCATGTTTTCCAACTTCTCTGAATATTTCCTTAACATTCTTGCTCTAGCTAAAACCTTCTTCTTCCCCTTCAGCCCCTTTCTTCCCTTTTGCCCAGTCTACTCCTGTGAAATTGATGTGAATTGGATTAAGAAATTTGGAAAAAATAACTGGGCATGCTCATTGAGTTTCACTGTTTCCTCTTAAAGAGGAACTGTTAAAGGACGCAGGCTTTCCTCTTCCCAGCTGTAGATAAAGGTTCTGTCCCATAGGGATCCTACCATAGCCCTGAGAGATCATTCCCATCAATAAGTTAAAAAAAAAAAAGAGTAAAACCAACTTTGTATATTTTTAGGCATGGCCTGTAAAGAAATGCCCTGCCCCGTCCATCTGTCATATAAATATGATATTATATCTATGTGTGTATATATATATATATATAATTTTACTTACACGTGGACTCTAAAGAATAGAACAAACAAATAATACAGAAATAGACTCACAGATGCAAGGAACAGACTGATGGTTGCCAGAGGGGCGGGGGGATGGGAGACTGGGGGAAAAAGGTGAAGGGATTGAGAAGTGCAGATTGGCAGTTCCAAAACAGTCACGGGGATGCAGAGTACAGCATGGGGAAATAGTCGATAATATTGTCGTGACTGTGCATGATGCCAGGTGGATGCTGGGGGCAGTGTATTGGTGTGGGGGACACTTTCTCAAGTACGCGATTGTCTAACCACTATGCTGTACACCCAAAGCTAATACTAAATAATATTGAATGTAAACAGTGACGGGAAAATAACATTTAAAAAATCCCCTAAAGATACCCTGTCCGTCAAAGTAAAAGAAACCTACGAAACGCCTCTGAGACCGTCACCATCTGGCACCGCGTTACCTCTTCTGTGCTGCTCTCCCTCTTACTCTCCCTGTTCCAGCCACACTGCTCTCATTATTCTTTCAAACACCCAGACGTGATGCCACCACAGGGCATTTGCACAGGCTGTTCCCCCCCACCACGATGCTCTTCCCTTACATTTCACTTCCATTCTTTCTTCCATTTTTTACTCACATGGCACCTTCTCAAGGCAGCCTTCTCTATACCTTGTTTAAAATTATGTAACCCTCCCCTCACTCCTATTCTGCTTTCCTTCCTTGGATTTATCTGCTCATCAGAGCATTTATTGTCTTCTAATATACCGAACAACGGACTTACTGACTATGTATATATCGTCTGCCTCCTCTGGGAGAAATTAAGTTTTGGGAGCTGAGTGTTATTTTCTCCGCTGTTCACTGCCCTATCCCCAGGGTCTAAAACAAGATCTGACATATAGTTGGCACCCCATCGTTGTTTGCTGATTTCTTGAGTAAATACGTCCATGAACACGACTCTGTTTGAAAAACTGGGTGGAGTAGAATAATGCAGTCAACAACTTTGAACAAAACTGAATTAGCATCAAGTTTCACTGTGGGTGGAAATGATCCACTCTTGCTCTGGCTGCTGTGGCTCAGTGGATGGTGTACAGGCCTGCAATCCGCAGGGTCACCAGATTGATTCCCAATCTAGGGCACGTGCCTGGTTGTAGGCCAGGTCCCCAGAAGGGGGCGCATGAGAGGCAACCACACACTGATGTTTCTCTTCCTTTCTCCCTCCCTTCCCCTCTCTAAAATAAATAAATAACATCTTTTTAAACGAGAAAAAGAAAATGATCTACTCTTCAAATCTGCTTCCTCTGTGTCATAAAGGGGAAGCATAATTTCTTTTCCCACCACACGCCCACTCTGCACAGGAATGCTTTGAGAATTAATGAAATGGTAACACGGAGAAAGAATCTGAATTTCAAAGAGAAAGCATTTTATTAATTTGAGGCTTTTATTGTGTGAAAGAATCGTAAGTGATACAGGGGCGAGTACAAAGATGAGAACAATTTAAAGGCGTTGCATTGTTCACAATACTAAGTTGGCATTTTATGACATAATTGATTTGAGATTGATATAAGCAGCGTAAAAAAAAAAACCACCCAAAGTGACTTGAGAAATCTTACCCTGAATGAGAGATTTTTAAGAAATACTCAATTCACAATTATTTCTAGTGCCATATGCCCATTAATGAATTATTTTCCGCTTCTACCATCCTTTTGTGCATTTTATGACAATTTTCCTGCTAATTAGAACTCCCATACCCGTGTCAAAGGCCTGCCCCCCCCCCCAAAATGGAAAAACTAAAATTCTCCTCACCAGGAGTTTATTCCTTTCTTTTTCCTGTTGAAATGTTTAAATTCTGATCTAGATTATTCCCAAACTGACACAATTTCTCAATGGTACACACTTTCCAATTAATTGGAGAATTGGTTGAGCAGATTAGGAGTGAGACGCTACATAATGTGGGGAAGGAATACACAAGGCGCTAGGACTGTTCTTGTCCTTTTGTTGTGGTGGACCAGGACTAGAGAAAGCACTGTGGCCTCTGACTTTTAGCCCTGACTGCGCTGCTTAAAATCTAAGTCACACTGTGCAGTGACTCGGCCACTCTAAGCCTCAGTTTCCATACTATAAAACTCATATGATCTGCTGTGTCTTCCTCTACAGGGCAAATCTTTTCATTTTAAGGCAAGTGACGTATTTGGTATTTGGAAAGACAGTGGCACTCATAGTGACCGCATCAGGAGAAGCAGTACCCCTGCTGGTCAGGTACCAGCAGCAGCGATCGCCACAGTGATAGAAACAGTCTCTCCAACAGGCAGAGTGTGGTGTCTGCAATGTAGTCAACACACCAGGTGACAGCATCAGAAGAACGCGACAAGAGATGAAAGGTAGCGCCCCTGCAGGAGGGCTAAGCCTGGCAACAGCAGGTCACATCAGGACCTTTCGGCAGATGGCAGAACTGACGTCAGGGTGGATGGGGGCGGAGTTCCAGCAGCCGGACAGGCGTCAATTTGGTCGTGACCTCAGAAGGTGGAAAAACACAAGCAACTCGCTTCTCACTTGGTCTCTAAATCATTATCCATGAATAGTCTTCAAACCGGAAATGAGGGAAGACATGATTAGAAGAATAAAGTAAAAAAAAAAAAAAAGGAAAGAAGAAATAGCCCTCAAAATAACAAGTGAAGAAACTGGGCTTCAATGAAATAAACTTATCTTCTCAAGTCCACACAGCTCGGCAGAGTTAGGAGCCAGGACTTCCCCCCTCATCTTTAGATCCCAGATCTGATGCTTCTCACATTATGTGATGGTGCTTTTAAGAGCCAGTGGAGACTTGGGGTAAGGGAAGAGAGAGTGAAAGGGCACTCGATTGTGTTAAAGAGCTTACCTCCAGAGTAGGGGCACTTTCAGTCACTGGCACTGAGAGAATTTGGAAATGAAATTATCAGGAACATTTAAAGCATAGTAGAGAAAAGCATACTGGCTCTATTCTGGCAGCAGAACAGAACCAGTTCGTGGAAACAAGGGAGAAGATAGATGCAAAAACGGAATTGGTACCCAG